ATGCTGATGGACCTGCAGAGAAATATGCAAGAGCTAAAGGATCAAGTTAGGAGGGAGAATACAGAAATAAAACAATCTCTGGAAGGACTTAAGAGCAGACTGGATGAGGTGCAAGAGGCCGTTAATGGATTAGAAATCAGAGAACAGGAACAGAGAATCTGAGGCAGAGAGAGATAAAAGGATCTCCAGGAATGAAAGAATACTAAGAGAACTGTGTGACCAATGCAAATGGAACAATATTTGCATTATAGGAGTACCAGAAGAAGAAGAAGAGAGAAAAAGGGATAGAAAGTGTATTTGAAGAAATAATTACTGAAAACTTCCCCAAACTGGGGGAGGATATAGTCTCACAGACCATGGAAGCCCACAGAACTCCCAACACAAGGGACCCAAGGAGGACAACACCAAGACACATAATAATTAAAATGGCAAAGATCAAGGACAAGGACAGAGTATTAAAGGCAGCCAGAGACCGAAAAAAGGTCTCCTACAAAGGAAAACCCATCAGGCTATCATCAGACTTCTCAACAGAAACCTTACAGGCCAGAAGAGAATGGCATAATATATTTAATGCAATGAAACAGAAGGGCCTTGAACCAAGAATACTGTATCCAGCACGACTATCATTTAAATATGAAGGAGGGATTAAACAATTCCCAGACAAGCAAAAGTTGAGGGAATTTGCCTCCCAGAAACCACCTCTACAGAATATTTTAAAGGGACTGCTCTAGATGGAAGCACTCCTAAGGCTAAATAGATGTGGCCAGAGAAAATAAAATCACACCAAAGAAAGGAGACCAACCAAATACTAACTAAAGGCAAAAAATAAAGTCAGCTACTCACAAAAGCAGTCAAAGAAAACACAAAAGAGCACAGAATAAAACACCTAACATATAAAGAAGGGAGGAGGAAGAATAAGAAGGGAGAGAAATAAAGAATCATCAGACTGTGTTTATAATAGCTTAATAAGGAAGTTAAGTTAGACGGTTAGATAGTAAAGAAGCTACCCTTGAACCTTTGGTAACCATGAATCTAAAGCCTGCAGTGGCAATAAGTACGTATCTTTCAATAATCACCCTAATTGTAAATGGACTGAACACACCAATCAAAAGACACAGAGTAATAGAATGGACAAAAAAGCAATACCCATCTATATGCTGCTTACAAGAGACTCACCTCAAACCCAAAGACATATGCAGACTAAATGTCAAGGGATGGAGAAAGATATTTCATACAAACAATAGGGAGAAAAAGCAGGTGTTACAGTACTAGTATCAGACAAAATAGACTTCAAAACAAAGAAAGTAACAAGAGATAAAGAAGGACATTACATAATGATAAAGGGGCCAGTCCAGCAAGAGGATATAACCATTATAAATATATATGCACCCAATACAGGAGCACCAACATATGTGAAACAAATACTAACAGAATTATAGGAGGAAACAGAATTCAATGCATTCATTTTAGGAGACTTCAACACACCACTCACTCCAAAGGACAGATCCACCAGACAGAAAATAAGTAAGGACACAGAGGCACTGAACAACACACTAGAAGAGATGAACCTAATAGACATCTACAGAATGCTACACCGGAAAGCAGCAGGATACACACTCTTTTCAAGTGCACATGGAACATTTTCCAGAATAGACCACATACTAGGCCACAAAAAGACCCTCAGTAAATTCAAAAAGACTGAAAGTCTACCAACCAGCTTCTCAGACCACAAAGGTATATAACTAGAAATAAATTGTACAAAGAAAGCAAAAAGGCTCGCAAACACATGGCGGCTTAACAACATCCTCCTAAATAATCAATGGATTAATCACCAAATTAAAAGAGATCAAACAATATACGGAGACAAATGTCAACAACAGTACAAAGCCCCAACTTCTGTGGGATGCAGCAAAAGTAGTTCTAAGGGGAAAGTATATAGCAATCCAGGTCTATTTAAAGAAGGAAGAACAATCCCAAGTGAATAGTCTAATGTCACAATTATTGAAATAGGAAACAGAGGAACAAATGAGGCACAAAGTCAGCAGAAGGAGGGACATAATTAATATCAGAGCAGAGATAAATAAAATTGAGAAGAATAAAACAATAGAAAAAATCAATGAAATGAAGAGCTGGTTCTTTGAGAAAATTAACAAAATAGATAAACCCCTAGCCAGATTTATTAAGAGAAAAAGAGAATCTACACACAAACAGAATCAGAAATGAGAAAGGAAAAATCATGATGGACCCCACAGAAATATAATGAATCATTAGAGAATACTATGAGAATCTATATGCTAACAAGCTGGAAAACCTAGAAGAAATGGACTAGAAATGGACAACTAGTACTGGAGGGCCTAGCCATGGCAATCAGACAACACAAAGGAATCCAAGGCATCCAGATTGGTAAGGAAGAGGTCAAACTGTCACTGTTTGCAGATAACATGATATTGTACATAAAAAACTGTAAAGACTCCACTCCAAAACTACTAGAACTAATATCTAAATTCAGCTAAGTTGCAGGATAAAAAATTAATACACAGAAATCTGTTGCTCTCCTATACAATAACGATGAACTATCAGAAAGAGAAATCAGGAAAACAATTCCATTCACAATTGCATCAAAAAGAATAAAATACCTAGGAATAAACCTAACCAAGGAAGTGAAAGACCTATACCCTGAAAACTACAAGTCACTTTTAAGAGAAATTAAAGGGGACACTAACAAATGGAAACTCATCCCATGCTCTTGGCTAGGAAGGATTAATATTGTCAAAATGGCCATCCTTCCCAAAGCAATCTACAGATTCAATGCAATCCCTATCGAAATACCAGCAGCATTCTTCAAGGAACTGGAACAAACAGTTCTAAAATTCATATGGAACCACAAAAGACCCCAAATAGTCAAAGCAATCCTGAGAAGGAAGAATAAAGCAAGGGGTATTTTGCTTCCCAACTTCAAGCTTTACTATAAAGCCACAGTAAGCAAGACAATTTGGTACTGGCACAAGAACAGAGCCACAGACCAGTGGAACAGAATAGAGAGTCCAAATATTAACCTAAACATATATGGTCAATTAATATATGATAAAGGACCCATGGATATACAATGGAGAAATGACAGCCTCTTCAACAGCTGGTGTTGGGAAAACTGGACAGCTACATGTAAGAGAATGAAACTGGATCACTGTCTAACCCCATACACAAAAGTAAATTCAAAATGGATCAAAGACCTGAATGTAAGTCATGAAACCATAACACTCTTAGAAAAAAACATAGGCAAAAATCTCTTGGACAGAAACATGAGCAACTGCTTCATGAATATATCTCCCCAGGCAAGGGAAACAAAAGCAAATATGAACAAGCGGGACTATATCAAGCTGAAAAGCTTCTGTACAGCAAAGGACACCACCAATAGATCAAAAAGGCACCCTGCAGTATGGGAGAATATATTCATAAATGACAGATCCGATAAAGGGTTGACATCCAAAATATAGAAAGAGTTCATGCACCTCAACAAACAAAAAGCGAATAATCCAATGAAAAAATGGACAGAGGATCTGAACAGACACTTCTCCAAAGAAGAAATTCAGATGGCCAACAGGCTCATGAAAAGATGCTCCACATCGCTAATCATCAGAGAAATGCAAATTAAAATGACAATGAGATCAGGATCGCCACCATCCAAAAGACAAACAACAATAAATGTTGGTGAGGTTGTGGAGAAAGGGGAACCCTCCTACACTGCTGGTGGGAATGTAAATTAGTTCAACCATTGTGGAAAGCAGTGTGGAAGTTCCTCAAAATCTCAAAATAGAAATACCATTTGACCCAGGAATTTCATTTCTAGGAATTTACCCTAGGAATGCAGCAGCCCAGTTTGAAAAAGACAGATGCACCCCTATGTTTATCACAGCACTATTTACAATAGCCAAGAAATGGAAGCAACCTAAGTGTCCATCAGTAGATGAATGGATAAAGAAGATATGGTACATATACACAATGGAATATTACTCAGCCATAAGAAAAAAACAGATCCTACCATTTGCAACAACATGGATGGAGCTAGAGGGTATTATGCTCAGTGAAATAAGTCAGGTGGAGAAAGACAAGCATCAAATGATTTCACTCATATGTGGAATATAAAACAAAGCAAAAACTGAAGGAACAAAACAGCAGCAGAAACACAAAGCCCAACCAAGAATGGACTAACAGTTACTGAAGGGAAAGGGACTGGGGAGAATGGGTGGGAAGGGAGGGATAAGGGCGGGTGGGAAAGAAAGGGGGTATTATGATTAGCATGTATAATATAGGAATGTGAGGGGGCATAGGGAGGGCTGTGCAACACAGAGAAGACAAGTAGTGATTCTACAGCATCTTACTAAGCTGATGGAGAGACTGTAATGGGGTTTGTGGGGGGGGGGGACTTGGTGATGTGGGGAGTCTAGTAAACATAATGTTCCTCATGTAATTGTAGATTAATGATACCCAAAAAAAAGCTGTTAAAAAATATGTGGGTTCAGATGTGCTGTGAGCTTTAAAAAGAGTATCTCCATAGATTTTAATCTGTTCCTTGAATTATTAGTTTGTTTTTCAATGGTAGGAATGGGGAGAAATAATCTGTACATAAATAGAATATTCAAGAGGAAAAAAATGGATTCTTAATTTGTTTCTTAGTAAGGGGAAGGGATTTGATAGCAATTGTTTTATATCCTGACCAGCTAAAGTCTTCTTGTTAAACTGTTTATTGTGAAATGATTTCAACATACAGGAATATTACAAAAATAAAATTACCTCAAAGAACACTAACATGTCCTTTACCCAGATTCACCTATTTTTAATATTTTCTCCTTTGCTCTCTTGAAAATATTTCTCTGAATCATCTGAGGGTAAGTTGCATTAACTCTATAAATATTTCATCACTTATCTCCTAAAAATAAGGGAATTTTCTTACATGTCACAAATGCCTTTTAACTGAATTTGAACAATAGGAGACAGCTTACCATCAGTAGTTTCATCACCTCCAAAATGCTGTCGGTAGAGGAGCATTAATTCAATGTTGTAGCACTTGTAGATGACCAGGGACAGTACAAGGAGGAGGAAGATTGCCCCCAGGCCTCCTGCAAGCTCAATTTTGTAGATTAAATCTGGAAGAAATGGAATAAACAGGAAAAGGTAATTAAATCAGCAAGATCTGAGATCTTCCCATATTTCTAGTCTGCAAAATGTACAATCTATTCTGCTTTCCATTCCAGGAGATTCTTACTTGAAGCAGTTAAGTAGCTTTGATCTTGATACATTTGTGTAAATAAAGTTTTTGTATAATAACTCTCTTCTGAAGATTTGAGTAATTTTATTATTGAAAATTATGTCTATCTGAAAAGTAATAGTCACCTTCAATTTGTTTTGAACACATCTAGATCTAACATATATACTTTTGTTTTACGTATTTTTCAAGGAACTAAGAGAGCTACCATTTTTTGGGTCCAGGGACAATATTTTGTTGTTTCTATTTAATTACCTTCTTGGCTTAGCAAGATTGCCATCTAGTATTTAATATTTGGCTTAGCAAAATTACCATGTAGTACTTCTCAAGTGACAGGCTCTATTCTTCTACAGAACATCATAAAATAATTCTCAGAATCAAATAAAATCTAATGATCTTGCAGGATTTAACTGTTTCATTTAACCTTAGTAGAACGTAATTTAATAGAAGATAACCTGGGGACATTAGCTTATCATTTCCCCTACTTATTTGAATAAATGACTATAATATGTATGTGATATAATATTCCCAGTGGGGCTGAAAGAGAATAAGAGAATGAGAAACCCAGGCTAATAACTTGGCCTATTCAGCCAACATCTACCTGATAGCAGCCTTAGGCTGCTCCAGTGGGATACCCCTAGAACTCTGAGAGTTGGAACAATTAAATCAGCACAAAATGGAAGAAGGCATAATGTATCTTAGGCAAGGGAATAGTGACCTGCCTGTAGCTCAGTTAGTGATATTAACAAATCTAGGGTATATTCAGAAGAGGGGATAGTATCATTACATTTCATTATCATTACATAGACATAAGAAGTCAGAAGAGAGTTTAGAGTATAAATTCAGCAATGTCCAAAGGAGAAATACTGAATTTGAATGACATCAGACCAGATACATATTTTCCATTGTGGGACAGAAAATTCAATGTTCTTAACATAACATAGATAAAATTTTCCTAAAACTTTAGCTAACCTCCCTTTATCTAATTCCATATTTACTAGGTGATTTTTTTATTTACTAATTCAGTTCACCATGTGACTAGAATCTGACAAAGGAAGTTGCATTCTAGTTTGTACATCAACTGCTTATGAGTTTGGTTGGCATCAATCAGCCTACCTGGATGGATCAATTCTGGGGCACTGTCAAAATCAAATTTCTGTCAGACTGCCACTCCTGAAGGTCTCTTGACAACCAGATTGTCAACTTTTTCCTGGGAATGTACCTTGTCTCTTTATAGGCTTATTGCTTAAGAGAAATTAGTTAGGTTCAATGTAACAATTAAGGTTAAATGTAATCTTAATTAAATGCAATTAAATGTTACAATGTAACAATGTAAGATTAACATTAAGAAAAAAATAAACATATGTAATATATACTACAAGTAATATATATTATAGATAAAAATTTCAACCAGTCTACTATCTATTCTCTAAGTAATCTTTTAGAGAAAAAAATTGTTGGTCCAAATTTATAAACAAAGAATCTGAGACTCAGTAGTTTAATTCACCTACCAAGATCATACATCTAAGAAGTGGCCAAGATGGGACTTGAGCCCAGATATCCTAACTTCAAATTCAAGGCTCTTTTTATTACACCACAGATATATAAGCTCTAGCCTGGAAAATGACAATGAAAAGCCTTTACCCTGTTCTTCATAGAACTGTTATTTCTCAAGAACATGTGACTTACAGTGAATTTAGCTTTTTCTGCCCTTTCAATTCCAAGGAAAGAAGCTAAACTACAGTTCAGCAGGCAGAATGAAATGACAGACCACATCTCAAGGACTTCCATGGAGGGTACTACAGAATCCTATAGCTGTATAGGGAGGAAGGAGGGACTCCTGAGAGTTCAGCATATGAAGAAAAGCTTTATGTTTCCTGGGAAGGGAGGGAATTTGGTTTGAGAAAGGAGGTGGAGTAAGAGAAGAGATGATGGTAGTAGCCAGAGACAGCAAGGCCAATCAGGAGAGTCACTGAGTGGAAATGCAAGAAACACAAATAAAGACCAATCTTTTTGAGTAAGGAGAGAGCAGGGATGACGGATAAAGAAAAGGAGTGGAGCTGGCTGTGAGATACAAAATATGTTAATAAGAAACATTATGAGGGAACATATAATGAATAGGGATAGGAAATTGGAATCTGTGTCCTGCCTGCTGCAAGAGGTGGTCATTTTGAAAATAAAGCCACAAAATTTCAGATAAAAAAAATCCTACCACACATTAGCTCTACTTCCTGACCTCTATAGAGAAAGTGGCTCCCCAGGAATCACTGCCTGCCTCTGTGGGTGATAAGACAGGTTTATTTAGAGACCTCTGTGGGGCTGCATTATCACAATCTATACTTATTTTCTCACATCTTACCTCAGCTATGCACTCTTCACAGCTAGTGTTAAATTGACAGAGCAATATGATTTTTTTTGTTACTTTGCAAACTGACTTCTCTTTGATCTTAGAGTATTGATTGACTTGATTCAACATGTGTTTTTCTGTTGTAAAATGTTCATTTCATCTTGTACATTTCTTGGACTCTCTGTCTCTGTGTCTCTTTCTTTGGTCAGAACAGGTTTCAACTGTTTTCAAAGACACTTAACAGTAATTTTTTCAGTAATTTCCATGTAATTTACAGAGTAGAGTTGCTATTAGGTGGACGGAAAACATCAGCAGCAGGAACAATTTGTGCTCCCAAGTAGAAGACCCAATTTTTCTGCAGTAAATTTTTTATTAACGTATCGATATACACTCTTGTAATAGTTTCACAAGAAAAACAATGTGATTATTACATTCACCCTTATTATCAAGTTCCCCCATGCCCCATTGCAGTCACTGTCCATCAGTGTAGTAAGATGCCACAGAGTCACTACTTGTCTTTTCTGTGCTACCCTGTCTTCCCCAAGACATCCCACACACCATGTGTACTAATCATGATACCCCACAATCCCCTTATCCCTCCCTCCCGCACCCCTCCCCTTTGGTAACTCCAAGAAGGGACTAGTGGTCTGGAGTAAATTTAAGGAAGAAAACTGTGGTGTGAAAAGTACCTTTGTGGTTTTTATAAAAATACCTTTCAAAGATATTACCTAAAGATGGCTGTTTATGCTGAAAACTGTGGGCCTAGTCCCTGAGACTCAACCAGTATTCTTTGATTCAGCCCTGGCAGTCACATTAAAAGGGAAACATGTATCCTATAATCAGAGGGCAGAATTGCCATCACCCATATGACACCTGGCTTTTCTTTTGTCTTCTGTTTTCAACTGTCATATTCCATCTCAGCAGGATCTATACTTCTAGGGACATTTTCCAACCGAGAAGGTAAAAATCATTTTATTTGAACTGTGTCTTGTATACACTTCCCAAGGACAGTTATAGCCAGAACAGCAAATATTTATGGGATTGTAACTTTTCCTAGGTACTCAAAGTACAAGTGTAATTCTTCTTAACCTTCTTAGGTTGAATCCAATGATTTATTCACTTTGAACACAAAGATCAGACATCACAAAATGTGACAAATAGCAGCTGGAGCCAAAGGAGTGGAGAGAAGAAAGGCTGGAAATGTTCTGAGCTTGTTAGTAAGTTGGAAAGCCAATTAGTAGATCACACCTGAAGTTTTCCTATACAAGTTGGAGGTTCAGAGTGGGATAGTAGCACTGGGAATGATGACAGAGACAGAGAAGGAGAGAGAGAGAGAGGGAGAAATTGATTGATTGATACGCTTTTGTTTGTGGAAAAGGGAGTATGCGTAGAGAAGAAACAATTATGAGAGTTTCTTTAGCATCAGTTCAGAGTCTTGGTTCACCAAAAGAAAATAAAATTGGAATGTACTTCTTACTGAAATGTTAGTTGTACTTACTGGCAATAGTCCATCAGAGAGTGAGGAAGTGGTAGATGCAGGTAGAAGATGCATAGGTAAGGATGTCTTGCTTTGAGAAAGCCTGACCCTGTTAATTGTGTATATTAGACATATGTTTTCATCTTACGAAAGGCCTTGTCAGTTTATGAAAGAATTAATCAAATGTTTTATGCCATAAGTATTTTCAATGTTTGACTTACAGCTCATGAGGAAGTTACTGTTTTCTAAAACAGACTATGCTAATATTCCAGGTGGAAACACTGCAGTTACTGAGGTCAGGCTATGATGTGATGAGGCATGGAAGGTTCAGCTCCAAAGGAAATATCTGAAGTTCTGCAAGACAAGCCAGAGCTCAGTGCGATTAAGAAAGCTGGAGCAAGACCACAGGGCTTCTTGTTCTTTTCTGGAGCTCCACCATATTGTAAGAGCTCCTAAAGAAAATGGAGTAAGAGAAGATGAACTGCAAAGCACAGTGAACAAATTTAACTGCTACGCCAGACAGACAGTGCACACTGGTATACTGTGGGCCAAAAAAAAAAAAAAAGGTTTTCTTGGTCTGTATAGTGTTTAAAATAAGTGAAACTAAAATTTAAAAACCGTATCTAGTCTTCCAACTACACTTGAAAACTCTGAAGTTCTCACATCCCTGGGTTCACATTCCAGCAAGTATGGCAATAATCTAGAAGAGTAGTAATTGCTCCTTTAAAGCAAGGCATGTTTTATCTAGCCCATTTTTTATTTTATTTTTTCAAATATCTAGTCCTCCTTTTTAAAAATTTCAATATATGCCTGGTCCCTGAGGTTTTGAGTTTTCAACCCCCAATTTGGAAAGTGAATGTTTTTGAAAACAGAAATGCACTTAGATAACCCATGGCAGACATAGTCAAGACAAGATTACAGAGAATCCTCTCTTTACCAATCCCTCATAACCATCCCCACCCTATTGCACTGGAACCTCTAGAAGGAGCATTTTTGCCCAGCAAAAATTTTGAGCACTTACTATGTTCTACGGACTAGGGATACAGCAGTAAATAAG